GAAGAAGCAGCCATTTGCTCAAAGGCTTTTCCTGCAGCCATGAGACCTCAGCTCCTGGGGAAGGAAAGGGAAGGGAAAAAGCTTCCCTGGAAAAAAGGGAAGGGCTTCTCAGCGCAGCGGAACACAGTCCCCTCCCTGATGGCGGGGTCCCGATTCACCGGAACCGCACACGGCCCCAGGCAGCACATCCACTTCAGGAAACAGTTTTTGTGGGCAAGACAGAGAACGTGCCAATTCAACAGCTTCATTTCTGCTTTTCTTTTCTGATCTACAAGCAGCAGGGACTGAGGAACCAGCCTGGCACAACAGCTGGCAGAGCCAAGCACCCCACTGAAGGTAAGGGACTCAGCCAGGGGAGCTGGCACAGAACCTGCAGACACCCAGCTCGAGGCTGCCAAAACGTTTGGATCACCTCAGTCCCGTGCTGGCTGCAAGGGCCAGGAACGCCTCTTTTTCTTTCCTTAAAATATGTATCGATTCAGCCTCCCTGCATGAGGGAAGCAGGTCTCTTCCATGTTATAGAAAGAGGGAAAATGGATTCCCCCAGTGGCAGAGGCTTTGTGAAATCAGTTATCTGCTCCCTGGCACAGGCTGAGCCCTGCCGGGCACAACTGCGACGTCGGTACCAGCTGCCCCGTGCCCCACTGGGGAGCTGGTTCCTCACCTGGATGAGGGAGGTGCATTTCTGGCTGTACGATCATCCCCTGGGGCGGCAGCGGGGCCGGGTTCTCGCTGTGGGTGTAGATTGGTCCCTGGAATTGTACTGCAACACACAACAGCCGGTAAGGAAACGCCCCGCCGCGTTTCACCCCGCCGCAGCCACACCACAGGGCTTGAACGCGGCGCTGCGAGCCACCTTCCCCCTGGCACACGCGGCCTGCCAGGCTCGCAGATGCTACACCCTCCCGGCAGAAAAGCCTCCTACTCCCCCTACAAAGCAGCAGAGTACTCGGGAATTTCTTCTCCGACGCTTTAAACGCTGGAGTAAATTCCCAACCCCTGCTCAGCCTTGCTCTGTAGTCCTCCCCGCTCTCACGCGTCAAAGACGTCGCTCTGATTTCGAGTTAATTTTAAACCCTCGTTCTCGTGAGGAAAAGCAGCGTCCTAGAGAGCCCCTGCACGGGGAGGGGAGCAGGAACACTGATTATATTGCAGCGGGTTGAAACACCGACCAGGGAGGCTCCGAGCAGCTTTTTAGTTACTGTACAAGACGACGCAGCGACACCGTTTACAAAGGGAAGGGAAGACAAAGCTCTCAGTCTTCCCAACCCTAAGAGGAGTGGGGGGACTCCTGCTCCAACACGCTGCTCCGAGCACACACGGAGCCTCAGGAGCAGGAGGGAAACACTCACGTGGGTCATAGTAGTGCCCTTCCATGATGCTGATGTGCATGGGGGGCGCAGGCTCCGGCACCGGCGGTCTCTGCCGCTGCGACGAGTAGCGCTTCACGCGGCCGCCCTGCACCG